CTTACTCTGCTCTTGTACTGCTTCTCCCTCTGCTGCTTCATCTCTCCTCTTCTCTGTATACAGCATTGTCCTTGATTTCTATCTTCATTCTCATGTCGCTTGCTATTCTCTACCTGTGTCTTATTGCAGCTTTTCCTCATTGTGCATTCACTAAGTCACTCACTCCCTCATTACACAAACATAGGGGGTACTTACTATGGGTTCTGCCATTATAAAGCTTAGGTTCTGGTGGTGCACACCTTTAATCCTAGCATTCTGGAGGCTGACACAGGAGGATGGAAAGTTCCAGCCCACCCTGGCCAACTTATCAACTTAGGGAGGCCCTACCTCAAAATAAAAAATACAAAAAGGGCTGGAGATGTAGCTAAGTGTAAAGGCCCTGGGTTCAATCCGCAGTACCACCACCACCACCAGCACCAAAAAAAAAAAAAAAGCTTAGAATCAAATGGTAGAACAGAACAGATAAGTAAACCATACAGTGTAATAAGCACTTTTCAATAGTCTCATGTTACACAAAAATGGATTCACTTAGTTGGTTTTCTGTCATATTTTCACTGCTTGAAATATTTTTTCTGCCTGACTAGATCTTCCACATGCTTTAGGTCTCTGCTCAGCTCAGACATCATTTCCTCCTACTTACTGATGCCCGTATTTAGACACAAAATCCAGTTTTGTGCTTCAGAGCCATTGTATATAAGCTTCTAAATATAATCTAAATGGATTTTAAATGGATTGTGTCACTTATTGCAGAAATGAATAATATTTCTATTCCATAACCTGCATTATTTCATGAGGATGTTTACGTCAATCAACAGAATTCTACAGCATACAAAACTCTTAACTTTGGGCAATATGGGGTAGACATAACCTGCAACCAGATTCTAAACATAAATTCCTATTTAAGGGGACTGAAAAGGAGGAAAAATTACAGAGTAATAAATTACAAAAATGGTCACTAAGTCTTCACATTCCTATATGTATGTCTTTTTGTATACAATGCAACTTTGCACTTCCTCCCTGAAGAGGGGGGTCTGTTTCTGCAACCCTTTAACCTGCCTGCAGCCATGTGACTTACAATGGACCCTGAGCAAACAGGATGCAGGCAGAAAGTTGAAAAGTGTTTGGCCATTGGGATGTGCCCTTTTTTTCAGAATTTGGAAGCCCTTCCACCACACCTTGGAAATAAGCCTATGGTAGCCTGCTGGATGATGATCCAGTTACCTCCCTTGCTCTTGCAAATAGCCAATCATTAGAGAAGCAATTAAGGCCATCAACTGTCATCTTACTGCAATGTACAAGTGAGTCTAATTTATACCATGTGAAGCAGAAATGAGCCATGAACTCACCCCAAAGTTACCAATCCACAAAATCAAGACAAATACATAATATTACTTTAAACTACTAAGTTTGGGGATATTTTGAAATGTAGAAAAAGTTAACCAATAAAAGTTTCCCCATATGAATCCAGTATTTTTTTTTGAATCCAGTATTTTGAGATTTTTTTTAAGTACACTGTAAATCTATCTAATTAATGAGTAGAAGCAAAAACTTACCCACCCTAGCTGTAACAATCTAAATTCTATCTATCCATTCAAACTGTACAAGAAAAATATTTCACTTATAGTAGTGTCTGCCTAGATTATATCAAAATTGAATGTTGAATTCAATCTCTGGTACCGGAAAAAAAATTGTTATATTTCACCAAAACTAGTTCTATCCAGTGTAAGTGGATAACTTACATGAACTTCGATGTCAGCGCACCAGACCATTACTGGACCTAACTGAAGACTTCTTGACTGTAGAACAACAGAAGTTGTTTTATCAGTTATGTGGAGAACTATGTATGGACTCACTCTGTCCTACACAGTGTGATAGTTTTCACTTGCATAACAATCATAACAATTAAGAACTTTCCTCCTAATAATTAAAAAACCTTGAATTTCCCCCCTCTAAACTATTCAATGTATATTCCCTTGCCTACCTACTAAGTTAATGAACTCAGTACTTATTTGTTTAAACTCTGGTGACTTTAGTTTCACAAAGCTAAAATGGACTTCTTGCTATTCCCAGAGCATCCCAGTATTATTTCTGTGATGATTATTTCTATAAAAATCCATATATGACATATGTCTACCTAATTATCATATACACTTCTTATTTTCTTTTGGTTTATTCAACATATCTTATTATACAATGAGTCTCCTAATATAACATGTAATGACTTAAGAGAAATCTAAGTAAAAAAAGAAAAATCTAAGTAGTCATTTAATCAATATTTGAATAGATAATTAGTCCTATTTGAAATTTCTTAAGATGATGAAGAACATTTACCATAAAATCCTCACTAAATACTAATGACTAATTTCAGAGACTTCAAAATTAAACATTTAATTACTCCAAATTAAGGAATGTGTGAAATGACATAACCTTCCTTCAGACATCAAGCATTAAGATATACAGTGGACCCTTGACTCACAAACTCAATTCATTCACTAGGGCTGGTTGTAACTCAAGTTGGTCAACTGAAGTCTCAGGCTCCTCTACACAATCTTCAAAGTCTCTCTCCTGTATACAGGCAGATCTCAGTGTCTAGAGAGACATTAGCCCAGGATTTCTCAGTTAACCCCACACAGGAAAGGATGTTGTAATATTCCTTCCAGAACACTTTAAGGATTAAATCTGTATCTGAGACCATCTGGAAGCACAAGCAGCCAGCATTCGGGTCATAATTCAAGACTTTACTTGCAAGTTAAAACTAAAATTCTGGTCATACCCAAATTGTTTGTATGTCAAGCAGGTCATAATTCAAGTGTCCACTGTATTTCATAATAATCCTATTATCTACACCATCCGAAAAAATCTAAAAAAAGTTTTACAAAAGAAAACTTGCATTCTGAAGCAGAAATCAGATTGGAAAGTTTATTTGTTTAACATATATTTATTGAGCATCACTCACAAGATATGGTGTTCATTGCTGAGGGTTCGATGATGAATATGACAGATACAGTTCCTGCTGACATTATAGTAGGGGAAACAGTATAATTGCAACTAGTGTAATGAAGGAGGAACACAGGATACTATGAAAGCACATAAGGAAAAGTACAACCAAGTTTCACAATGAAGTGCTATTTGAGTTAAACTCTGAAGGATTGACAGAATAAGGTAAAGAGAAGAATGATTGAGTTAAAAGGAATGGCATATATAAAGATCCTGAGGTGGGAAGATGTATAAGATGTTTAAAGAACTGAAATTAGGTAGGCATGGTGGCACATGCCTGTAATCCTAGTATTGAGGGAGGCTGGGGTAGGAGATTCACAAGTTTGAGCCCAGCCCGGGAAACTTAGTGAGACCCTGACTCAAAATAACAAATAAAAATGACTGGGTATGTAGCTCAGTGGTAAAGTACTCCTTGGTTTGATCCCTAGTGCTTACTATGTGCCTGAAATGTAGACTGTAAGGAGAGAAGAGCCAGGTTCCAAGTCAGACGAAGTAGGTCTTACAAGACCTGTTAAGGGCTTTGAATTTTTATTCTAGAAGTAAAGGGATTCCAACTGTCAGTTTTCATGTTGGAGAACAGCATGATAAGATTATCTTTTTGAAAAATCACTCCAAATACAGATAAAGAATGGGCTGGAAGAGGACAAGAGTAGATGAAAACGTATCAATTAGAAGACTATTATACAAGTGTAGGTGAGGGGTGGTAGCTTAGACTAAAATGAAAGCAATGGTGAAAGTTCAGAAATGAAGAAGTTTGAGAAAAGAGGCAAAATCACCAGGACCCAATAGTTGCCTAGAAATAAACAGTGAGGAAGTAAAAGTTAATTCCTCAAGTTTGCCTTAAGGATCTGGATGGATGGACAACCACATAAAGAAAATTTTGAAACATTGAAACTGAGGTGCTTGTGAAATATCAAAATTTGAATAGATAGTTGGATACACTGGTACACTGAAGTTGAAGAAGATATTTGAGCTAAATATATAAATCCAAAACTCATAGAGGTATAGATGAAAACTGAGGTGAAGTGTGGAATGAGAGTACTCAGGGATGATTACAGAATGATAGAATAAGGCCTAGCCTCAAGTCTTAAGGAATTTTAATATTTGAACAAGTAAGAGAGAATGAGCCAGGAAAGGACACTGAGAAGGAATAAACAGAGAAGTAGAAAGAAAATTATATCACAGAAGAGAAGGGAGAAAGGATTTCAAGATAGAAACGGTCATCACTATTGACTATTGCTAAGAAGTAAGACAAAGATTGCGATCTTTCTACTGGGCCTAGAAGCATGAAGAACATTTTGGTCTTAGTAAGTATCACTTATTGGAGAGAGCCTGGCACCAAAGTCAGACAGAATAGGTCAAGAAATTTATGGGAGGTAAGATGAATAGATGGACAAATGTTTTGATAAATTTGGCTATGTTTTAGTTGTTTTAGTTCGGTGTCTATGACTAGACTATGTAAGTTCTTCAGGGTAAGAACCAAATTTTGTATTTTTTTCCATGAGATGTAGCTCAACATTAAGTATTCAATAGGTATGCAATAAATACTTATTGAGTAAAGACACATCAATAAGCTCGTTATAAATTCATTCACCTTAAAACATTTATTGAGCTTCAATTCATCAAGCAGATGCCTAGATTCAAATATTGGTATATTGTAATCTCAGCACTTGGGAGGCTGAGGCAGGAGGATTGCTGTGAGTTTGAGGTCAGCCTGGGATATATAGTGAATTCAAGGTCAGCCTGAACTACATAGCCAGACCCTGTCTTAAAAAAACAAAGCATAGGGCTGGGGATTTATCTCAATGGTTCTGCCACCTGCCTCGCAAGCACAAGGTCCCAACTTCAATCCCCAGTACCAAAAAACACTCCCCCTAAACAAAGCATAACAAATCAAATATTGGTATGATATAAATATCAAAGAGAAAATGGAGAGGTAAATAACAATTACATTATAATACACTGATGGTTGCAGGTACTTCAGAAATATATAGAAAGAGTACCTTATTCAGACCAGACGTGACAGAAGGTACCCCAGAGGAAGAAGTATCTGAGCTGATTCTTGAAGAGAAAAGAAAAAATAGCCAGTTAGAGAAGTGAGGGGAAAGATCTTTTAGACACAGAAAACTGACATTTTTTATTCCAGAAGAGGACATTTGGCTGGTGATTCTGATTAGTTGGTCTGTGTGGGAGAGTAAAAATGATGTACATGAAGAATGCAGCCTCTCTGGCTGGGGTGGGCTAAGTCAGGACTTGTAGTGGAATTTTTAAATATTAAATTACAGGACACACACACATCAGAGTATCAATTGGAGATGAATAATAAACTAGTCAGTGTATATAAATTATTATGCTTCAGGTTCAATAAAATTAGAACCTGTTTGAATAAAATTCTACCACATACCAGTAAGTATAAGTTATTCAAATGCAATACTAAGTATTTCCCTAATGTACTCACTCCCTTTGGGCACACAGGTAATCTGCTTTACTGAATTGATAAAATCAGATATTCATTTCAGATTGAATGCTGACTAATATCACCTGTACAGAAGCACCTAAAGGATTTCCTGGCATAATGTAAGCACAAGGATTTGGCTCAGTAAAAGGGTGGCAGCTGGTTTGAAGTATAAGCAGACAACTGTCTAGGAAGCCACTGTCTCCTGGCAACAGAGGAAATCCATAGCAAGGATGAGACATACCCTTTGTCTTGCCAAGACCTAGTACTAGCACTTTGAAAAGATAAGTTAGATCTTTTGAGTTTTTTTTTTAATAGAAAATGTTAAGTACATATAGTCTTTTTTTTTTTTTTGGTACCAGGGATCGAAGTTGGGTCCTTGCGCTTGAGAGGCAGGCGGTGGAACCACTGAGCTAAATCCCCGGCCCTCATATAGTACTTTAAAGAAAATCTTAGAACCTTTTGCAATGCTACATTTCAACAGAAACATACACAATGGACTTTGGCACATAGTCTAGATGACTTCCTTGAAGACTGTCCATGAGTGAATCTGCAGGGAATTATAGGGAATAAAATAAAGGTCCATTTACATAAAAGTCCCTTTTACATTTTACTTGGTTTGTATATTCTTTTTTTTTTTTTTTTGGACTGAGGATCGAACTGAGGACTTTGCACTTGCCAGGCAGGCGTGGTACCACTGAGCTAAATTCCTGTCCCTGGTTTGTATATTCTGAATGCTTGAGCATTGACACTGACATGTATGACTTCTATGTAGCCGCGGTAGAGGAAGTGATTCTTAGGACTATCTCTCTATGATTCTTTCTCTTCATAAACTAAATGTTCCATTATTAATGTATAAGGAGCCACTGGAAAAAATGCTCAAAAAGTATCTTGAGGTGCAGCACAGACCCCTTAGTCATCACAAAATTACCAACAGATACAAGGTTCAGAGATTACTTCCAAGCCAGAACTGGGTCTGCATCCCACAGGAAAAGATTCAAGTTTTTATTTGAGGTCTCTTAGATCTACTCCCTGGCTCATTTGAACTCTTATTCTAGATCTTATGTGTCAGAACTGTGGGAGAAAAGAGAGGACTTGAATAGTATAAAAGACTCTATTTCCCTGGAATAGTCTGAAATTCTAGCACCAATAATCTTCTCTTTTTTATTGTTTAAAATTGTTTATTGAAATTATGCAGTAAAACTGACATTTCTGACTTCTAGTTTTACAAAATTTAACACATATATGAATGTTATAATAATCAGGCTATACAAAGTTTTAAATCTTATTTTAAGAGCAAATATTCTTCATTATCAGTTCACCATCAGGTGATAAGCATTTTTCAAATATGCATTCCCAAGTACTGGAGGAATTAGAATCAGAAAGAAAACATACTTTTAAAAAGATACTAAAAGGGGGTGGGGTGGGGCTGGGGATGTAGCTCAGTGGCGCTTCATCTGCCTGGCAAGCGCAAGGTCCTGATTTTGATCCCCGGTACTGGAAAAAGAAAAAAAAAAGACACTAAAAGGAAAGAATAAAACTAGAAAAGCAAATGTACAAACTTTACAACTGTACAAAGTTCATGTAAGGATTAAAGTTCACTTTAATTCTATACTTTTCTTTGGGGAACCCCAATGAAAGGTAGTAGATCATATTTTACAAGTAAAACCTACAAATAATAGTGATATTGTATTTTTCAATTAATGAACTACCACTATAAAAACTGCTCCAAATATGTAAGGAGTGTGTTCTCTACCTATTGTTGTGAGATACCAAACAGATGAATAAATCTCTTTTTGTCCCGGAAAGCAGACAGATGAAAACTTTTTGGATCAAGTTGAGTCAACATTATCACCAGAAGATTAAGTCTTGACAAACTGAACAACAATTTTGTTTCCTTTTTTATTAAATATAAATAATGAAAATGCTCCGTTCTAAAGTGACCGGACTTCTCAAAGGCTCTATAATGGATTGAAGATGACATAAACAATGATACAGTTCAAAGAATTTTAAAGAAGGATTATTTTTTCCTTTTCTTTTTTTTTGCTATGTATACAAGCCATAAGTAGTAGCCATTGGTAGCAGAACACGATGTTGTAAAACATTCTGGGGGGGGGGGCGGGGATTCAGCTCAGTGGTTTCGCCACCTGCTTCACAAGCTCAAGGACCCGAGTTCGATCCCCGGTACCAAAAAAACCCAAACATTCTTAGGGTTTCTGAATATTCTGCCTGACACTGTCATCTGTTCATATATAGATCTCAATTTTTGCCACAGAGAGACAAAGCCCTAATCCTAACAATCCAGGCTGATAAATCGTCTTTTATTATTTGAATTCTTTAATGAAATTCCTACAACAGTGTTGTTTCAATAAAAACTAAAGCTCTTGGGCCGGGGATTTAGTTCAGTGGCACCGCGCCTGCCTTGCAAGCACAAGGTCCTGAATTTGATACCTGGTACCAAACAAAAAACAAACAAGAAAAACTAAGGCTCTTATCAAGCCTCAAATGACCGTAAGTATTTAAATTTCGAGTTCAAGAAACATCAGCAAAGGAACTTAATCCTCTTGCGTCATGTAATTGGTTGGCGATGGAACTTAGAGCAGATGGAACAGAATCCTGGTGTGCCCACTGTTATTCTTATTATAGATATTAAAAAATGCCTTTATGTATCAATCGATATTTAAAAATCTCTCGGGCCAGGGATTTAGCTCAGTGGTTTTGCCACTTTCTGTGCAAGTGCAAGGACCAGAGTTTGATTCCCGGTACAAAAAAAAAAAAAATCTCACAGGAGAGTTTGTCAATATATCTGTTTACTGCCTTGAAATCAGTTCCTAAATTGTAGCTATTTTTTTATGGAAAAAGATCTAAATGCAGTCAAATACTGTATATTGCCCTGCAAAAAACAGGTGGTGGACAGAAATTTCTTTATGTTATTTATTAAATTTAATGACACAGTTTCCTGCATGCTGATGGAAATTTTCACTAGTATGAAAACTCCCTTAATTTGGTTTCTCTTTAATTTGATTTTGAAACTTTAGTGTGCATAATAATATCCTGTGGAACTTGTTTCAAATGCATTTCTAGAGGTTCTGACTCAGAAGATCTGAAGGATATTCTAGGAACCTGCACTTTTCAGTGATAAGTACTGAACTCAGGGACTCATGTGGAATCTACACTTTTAACCAACCACCCCAGCTGATTCTGATGTTACTGGTAGGCAATTACACTGTTAGAAACATTATTTCAATTGAAAATAAAAATATATGTCCACATATAAAACACAATATATAAAAAAGAATTATGTATATGTATATTATTTATTTCAGAGCAATATATGCACATATTCCAAAAGAATTATTAAGAGTTTGGGGTGGGCCAGGGATTTAGCTCAGTGGCACCATGCCTGCCTCGCAAGCTCAAGGTCCTGAGTTTGATCCCAGGTACCACAAAAAAAAAAAAAAGAGAGAGAGTTTCAGGTATAGCTCAGTGGTAGAATGCTTGCCTAGCATGTACAAGGCTCTGGGTCCCAGAACAGAAAAAATAAAAAGAATTATTATGGTAAAGTTTCTAATTAGTTGTTTATCCTGTAGGAATAAAACTAAAAAAATTACAAAGAATGTCAGGCTCTGTTATAAATTTCAGTATAGGTCTGCATACTAGAAAGAAAATACAGATTTGGGAAGAGGTTCTGAAATTTAAAGTATATATTTTTTAATATCTGAAGAGATCTAATAGATATCATTTAGACCAGGAGTCAGCACACCAAATCTTGCCAACTGACTGATTTGTATGGTTCAAAAACTAAGAATGGTTGCTATGTTCTTTTTTTTTGTACCAGGGATTGAACTCAGGACCTTGCGCTTTCAAGGCAGGCAGTGGAACCATTGAGCTAAATCCCCAGCCAGTTGCTATATTCTTAAATGGATTTTTCAAATCAAAAGAAGAGTAATGTTTTGTGTCATGTGAAGATTATATGAAATTCAAGTTTCAGTAATCAAAATAGTTTCATTGGAACACAGCCACAATTACTCATTTACATATTGCTTATAGCTGCTTTTGCACTACAGTAGGAGAACTGAGTAATCACGACTTATGTTGCCAGGCAAAAAGCTTTTGATTTTATGCAATCAAATTTATCAATATTTTCATGGTTTTGAGTCATGATTAAAAAAGATTTTCTCTGGCATAAAGGAATTTAAAACCTGATTTCTTCAGTTTTGTATCTCTCTCTCT